ACTTGGTAGCCTGTTCCGGAAGTTAAGCAGCTGCAGTACCACGTGTTTGCAACAGCCTAAGAGAAATGGACTTCCACTGCTGCAGCTACTTCAGGCGACGGTGCTTGCGGAACGTTGACAGTCGTCTGGCCATTGCCGCAACTGTGCTCCTCCTGTTCTCCATGCAGGTGAGTCATGGACATGTACAGATGGTCACGCGGTACAGCTGTATTACGATCTTGGATCTGCGCTATGGTTCGTAGCTCCATTGTTGTCCTGAGGATACCCGTTTTGGACGGCTTATGCAGTTTGGCTGACCGCTGGCTGGTGAGAACCACTGTGCATTTCGAATCCGTTTGTGACAGGCACACTGTACCGTCGTGAAGCTTCCGCAGCAGGCTGTTACGTACTCGGCTGTTTGTACTCGTTCTGCGGAAATTGCTGAGAAGTCACCATTTGGTTAACCAATTGGGGTTCCATTGCAATGGTAGCATAATTCATTGTTACAGTAACTCCGCCATCATTGGTCACCAAGACTCCCAAAGGATGAGGTAGTTGGGCTAACCAATGGTTGAGCTGTTGACATGGTTGTGACGTAGGGCAGGTGGCTGCAGGAAGACGTGTCAGTCTGCTGTCCGCTTTCAAAGAAGTTAACGGTCAGCGAGGATATTTGCTGTGGAACCTGGTAACATCTGTGTTTTCAATTCATGTCGACCTTACGAAAGTGTTCGTGAATTGAGGATGTGAATTTAAGAAGTATGAAAGTGTTCCTTAGTAAACGACTGCTAAGAAAACCAGCGACAATGCGAACATCTGTCGTCTTGTCTTCAATCCTGTCACCCCATATCTGTCTTCGTGGTGCTGAACACACAGACGCAGGCCCTGGATCATCTACTGCCAAGCAATCCACACACCACATGGATGGAACAAGACAGAGGTAAGTGCCATCGACGTCCACATGTTTCTGTGACCATTCTGTAAACTTATAAACTGCAGCACGAACGCAGTTACATTAGCGATTCGATAAAAATATAAGTTTCTTTTCGTTTACCAACGTGAAAGCAACTGTTTCGTTAAAAATACAAATGCTGGATTTATCGCTAGTGAGAAAATCGATTATCAGGGTCAGTAATACTGGCTTTTGCTGCAGCTTATTTCGCTCAAATGCTCAGCTGAACTCTAATCACATGCCGTCACTGCAGGGTGTCCAGGCATGGACACGAGATGTGATGATTTCACGTCACCTCGGTTGAGGAACGAGCCTAACTAATAAATTCTAGTGCCTTAAGCGCCTAACACTAGAAATGAGCCAGCTACGATTAACGTGGAACCTACTTGATCATTCTCCAAGAGGTCGCATGGGTAGTAACCACGTCCACGTGTTCGTTTTAGTTCATGGACACATCGTGCAGAGCTGTGACTTGTCAACATTGGACAGCATGACGTTTTCCCCTCTCTTGTCAGTACGCAGCGCCAATGACAGACCATCACCGATTCGACAAGATCAAGTATGGATGACATTGCGTATTCATTGCATGCATTGTGCCATTTTTACTTAATACAATTTAAAAACCATCAAGGCTTCTGCCCGGCGATTTTATCATCAACCTAAACTTTTCTTGAACTCATAGGCCGAGGGCATTATTAGCATCAAGGCCTCCCCCAGCATGAACCTCCATTACGTCAAAGCGCCTCTTTTTAATTCAACATGTTCGTTGTCATATCTAAGCGAAGATTGCCCAGCGTAGAGACCACTACCTAAAGTGAACGTAGGCCGACGCAGAGTTGCAAAAAATACCAGATTTGCACCACATATTGGGTTGTGAACATCAGCTCTCGGTAAAAATAAAGGCAAGTTGTCGCCTTATGTTTAGATCTAATACGAACAACGTTTAGTCACACGTTGCAATAGGCAAATTGTTCGCAGCTTGAAGTTGAAGATCAAAGGCGTTGAAGTGACGTTTGTCAGGTGCTGGCAGAATTACGCTAACCGCGGCACCGGTATCAATCAAAACCTTTACGCCGCTCGCTCTATCAGGGAAGTAAAATAGGCGACTGGATTTGTTGGGATGCCTAATATCACGAGTTACCCAACAAAGATGAAGTCGGTGGGAGGACAGAGTAAAACGTTTAGTCGAGGACTTGACGAAGACGTGGTTTTCTGTGTGAGATTTGTGCGTGTGTATTTAGACCTCGGATGGGTGAGTCATACATGGGCTAACATCGAGACCTAGGTGTGAGGTTAATCCATATACGTGTGAATGAAGGGGAAGTTGAGGATTTGCGCGGCTGGCGCCAGGCAGCGAAAAAGGGGAGCCCTGAGTCGGAGACAAAGCGATCGGATTAAGAGGTTGAATAAACACGATTCACAACAGATTTAGTGCCTAAGCCTGCCATCACCGTTGCTAGTCGATTTTCGCGATTGGTAAACGCGCATTCGGTCGCTTTGAGGGCTCGAACGTGGCAGCATGGGTACTTAAAAACTCGTGCCTTGTCGCCATGGCAATGACGGTGCCAACACAGGCCAAATTACTTCTCGTTGTGGTTGTTACGAAGAAAGTTTTACGATTACCAATGAGTAATTGTCCATTCGCTCTCCCATAACTGGCGCAAAACAGTCATCGATCTTGGTAGCCTTAGCGACGTGGCACATTTGCCGTAGCAGTTTGGAAGGGGACCTGTCACCCAGGTTGATACCAACGAGGAGATGTCGAAGACCAGCCACGTTCTATCTGATCGTTCGTGTGAAGACAACAGTTCATAATTTGTCACTGGGATTTTCAGGGGCATTGTTTCAAGTAAGTCGACAACTTCTGTGGCAGCTTCTGTCGGCAAAATTGCAACAAACTTCGAGTACTTAGAGAATTTACAGGTAATCTTCTGATTGTTACAATCGACTTCAAGTTGCATAAACCAGACCCGGTTGCTTGGATTTTAGGGGAGAAAGTAACCATGCTGCTGTCTTTCCGAGATTAACAGCAGTAGGATGAACCATTATCCACAAAAGAGGATTGCGGAATGTTCGAGGGAAATGATCAATTGGCGGAGTCGAAATCACAGCGGTTGAATTTGATTGCAGGTCAATGCTCAAGTTCCTACCTCTGAAACTCAGGTCGCGACACCTTGGAAGCAATTCCTACTTGGTACTTCTGACTGCATTACCGCCACAGCTTACCATGCATTAGCGTTATGCCTGACATTGCAGCGACACATGAGCGACTTAAGAATATTTTAACCAATCAATGTAATGCTAATTACATATGATTCTAGAAAATTATGACTTGTTAGCC